TGATATTTTTGCGAGTTGTGTCAGGGGCAGCGGCGGTGGGAATACAGTGGGGGTTACCTACCGGTGGCGTGACTGGAGTCTCTGATTTTTTTGTTTTTCTCTGTATGCTGTTGTCTGCAATCGTTATCCGAATCTGAACTAGATACGACTTTACTTTTTTCTGATTTTTCCTCCTCGCTAGATCCCTTGCGTGACCTTCTCAATTTTTCATTTTTCTTTTGCTGTTTTTTCCTAGCTGCTGGAATCATAGAATTACGTCATAAATATGAGGATTACACACTTGACTGGTATGCACGGAATAGCGCGTTAAGCTTGCACTATTGACGCCCAATAGCGCACGCTTGCCGGTTTAAGACCAGGGTATGCTTGACCACGCACGTACCAGTCAAGTGGTCAGTTATCGGGATCTCTAATGAGAGACGCGATTTCTACTCGAGCGCCATACATTTACCTTCGCTGCTGTCTTCAGAGTCGGATGAGGCTTCTCGTTTTTCACGTTTAGTCCTTTTACTACCGGAATCATCGAGTGTTTTTCTTTTAAATGCTGGTACAGAATCTGGTAATTTTTGACTCAATTTTCTTTCTTCAATGAGTAAGACCTTATTCGGCTGACGGGATCTCTCGTCCTTTTTAGACTGGTAGGCATCTCCCGAAGTGTGTGTCGGTTCCGTCGACTTCGGGGATTCCTCCTTGGCGTCTAATCTAAACGGACAACAGCAACGACTAGTTAATGGTAGTTTGAAACTAACGTTAATTGATCTTCCAATGAACGTACTTAGAGAACTGTTGTTTCGGTTTCAAAACCATCGTCACGGTTGTGGTCGTTGATATTGTTGATAACGGCGTTGCTGTAACGATGTCCTCTGTCTTTTTGAAAGGTGACGGAGTGCGGGACAAACTCTTGGAGAACTACAAAGTATTGTCAGCAAGCAGAAAGAAAAGTAATCGTAAATATTAGGTGAAAATTATTGAGAATAGAAAGTTATTGCGTTACTCATAACGAAGAGAATATGTTACCCTGTGCCTAGCAGGAGGAGGTGCGGAAGCTGGAAGTTTTTTCGGAGAAACGATGGAATCAGATTTCTTTGATGCACTCGAAGTAGCATCCAGCTTCTTGGTAGGTTCCTTTTCCGTACGTTTTCCAGAATCTTCCTTAACTAGTCTCTCCTTCTCCTTTCTCTTCTCCTCGGTATGAGGAAGAGGAGGTGGAGGAGGAGGGGGAGGAAGCGGAGGAGGAGGAGGAGGAGGAAGAGCTCGTTCTCGTTTCTCCAGATTCTGTGACATCTTGGGCTCGGCTGATTTTCTACAAGCAAATGTTGAATGTGCTGGCCAAAATTCATAATCAAGATGTCTAATGCTCGTTGTTTAGAACCAAGAGAAATCAATCTGATTCGCGGCCGAAAAAGTTGAATTTTCGATCGCTTTTCACTCACCTGGATGGTCGCTCCTCATCGGTAGAGGAGCCACTCTCGCTACTTTCCGAGCTAGTTGACTTAGACCTTCCGTTGCGCAATTCTTTTCGCGGTTCCATTTCCCTAGATTTTTTATTTTTTTCTTCAGCGGCAGCTTTCTTCTCCGTAGTTCGTTCGCTCATGATATCCTTGGCTCTATCGGGAGATCGCTTGCCATCTCGGTTTGAGCGTTCAATCGATGATTTTTGCTCCTTTGACTTGGATCTACGTTCCTTATCTCTTTTACGGTCTCTGGAACGCGCTTGTCTGGCAGACCTGTCGCGAGATGATGATCTGTCGTACCTGTTTGAACGCTCTCGGACTTCCGGTGAATGTTTGCTATCGCGACGTTCGATCGACTTGCGTCGTTCGCGTCTCTCCGATGATCGACGCCTCCGTTCAAGGGACCGTCTTCTACGTCGGTCACCAGGGCTAGGTGATCTACGTCGATACCGTTGTGCTGGGCTCCTGCGGGGTGGACTTCTAAGCAAAGTATATTTCAATTATTATTTGAGAATCGTTTAATACGCATTATAATATGTGCATCTTTCGATTCACATACCTACGTCTGCTGGGTGCCCTTCGTACCGACGGCGGTCTCATTCCGCGACCACCGCTATATCTATCTAATCTCTCTCGCTCTCTATCGCGTTCACGATCACGATCACGATCACGATCACGATCACGTTCGCGTCTTCTTTCCCGTTCTTTTTCCAAGGATGACCTTCTACAAAACATAAAAATTATGCAGCCGAGTTAGAGGATGATGCGCGACGAATCGTCGGCTATACGAGTAAATGCGATTTTCCCTTTCCTACCTTCTGTTGGTTCTGTCACGCGATCTATCTCTCTCTCTCGATCTGTCTCGATCTTTCCTTGGGGAAATACTTCGTCTCTTAGTGGTCGGCTTTCGCTCACGGCTAGAATCACTGTCGCTGCCGCTGTCATCTTTGTTCGTCTTTCGGTACGATCTCTTCGCCTGGACGCCATCTTTTTTCTTTTTTATTTCAAAATCGTTTTTGTCCTTTGCTCCTCCCTTATCTCTTTCTGAGTCTGAGCTACTGCTCGAGCTAGTGTCATCTCGTTTTCGATTTCCATCAGTACTACTGCTCTTTCGTCGTTTTCCAGGTGACTTTGACGTAGACTTCGATGATCTCGAATCACTCGAATCTGACCTCGTTTTTCGCGATTTCTCTCTGTCTCCACTCCTCGATCTTGATCTTTTGGAACGAGAAGGTGATTTCGATTGTGATCTTCTTCCTCTGGGAGACTTAGACTTACTTCTTCTGGACCTATCTTGGGATTTGGATGTTGACAGTCTTTTAATTTTGGACTTGGATCTCGATCGTCTCGTTCTCGACTTAGATATACTCGGCAGTGGCGATCGAGACCTCCGTTGTTGTCTTGAAATGGGAGATTTTGAGCGAGACTTTTTGGAACGATTTACAGGAGATTTCGAGCGTGATTTTTGCGATAACTTTTCCGGTATTTCCGACGAGGGTGAACGATTGTTTTTCTTTTTCCCATCCGCAATGCTCATCAATTTGGCTTGAAGTCGTGATATAGCAACTGCGGCCTCACTACAATTTCAAAAGCAACATAAAATATTATCGTTAACTGCAGAACGAGTTTCGTAAATACAGATACACTCACGGTTTAGTTTTCATGGGCATCAAGGGAATTGCATTTTCAGCCTGTGGTGAATCTTCACGTTCGACTTTTGTTTCAGATGCCTCCTTTCCGTTATCTTTAACGACAGCCTTGCTACATGGCGGCGAACGTGAATCAGATCTTCGTAATTTACGAGTAGAACGATCACGATCTCTATGACGATCCCTCGACCTGCTTCTCTTAATTCTGTTAAATGCAATACAAATTTTTACATTAACAAACTTGACGTTTATGCACCATTGATTAATTCGATATTAACGAGAATAAATAATTAGAACGCACCTGTCTCGATCACGATCACGATCACGATCACGATCCCGATCCCGACTTCGGTCTCTCCTACTGCTATTTGTCCGCTCCTTGGATGAAGCACGTTCTTTATCCTCCTTCTTCACTTTGGTCTCCGTTTCATCCTTATCTTTCTCACGCTCCTTCTCCTTTTCCTTTTCGGCCAATGAAGCCTGCAGCTTCTCCTGCTCCTCCTAATTTTTTATTTGACTTAGTTACATAAACGTACTATATCTCATGTTTCGGTAGTTTGCACTTTGCCATAAGGCAACACGGTGATTAACGAATAATTACCAAACGTTTTTTAATCTGGTCCTTCTTTTGTTGCAAAAAAGCTTCCGGAATACCCGTAACGCTTTCTTGTGCGGACACCAATAGATCCCAAAGTTCGCCCATAAATGACCGAGCGTTTCTGCCATTTAGAAAACCCGTCAGGTTGATCTGCATCTTTCGTGGATCAGGAAACTGTAAGAGAAAAAAAGAAAAAAGAAAAAATATCGCGCGGTCTATTTGAATTCTTTTGCGTACGTCTGAAGCAAAGGTCTATTATAAACAGTTGGAACTAGCAATTCCTGCTACATGCAAAAATTTAATTCTCTGGCCGTGGATAACGGAGAAATACGTGTACGCACCGATATACGCGTGTCTCTTTGAATCTGTATGTATTTTTTTTTATAACAAACTGCTTTTCCCCCTCGAAAAAGCAGATCAATTTAACTGTAATACTCTAACTGTGCATCTTACCACCCGGTTGTTTGATACGCTAAAAAAATTGTCATATACATTGGTGGTACCGTCAGCAGGTATAGCGAGATGTCACGAAAGAAGCAGTCAAAACACCTAAGGAGAAAACAAAGAATTGGTAAGATGACTTGCAGATGAGTCACTAAAACGGTCCTAGAGAATTTTGCAAAATGGCGGCTGATCCTAGAATAATAAATATTTAAAGTATAGATTAGGAGACGCGAGATTGTACTCTGAAAAATAAGGGATTAACGTGAAAGGGAAGAAACGCGAAGCCACCAACCTGTCGTAGCGATATTGTCGCTTTGAATGCGTGTAAAATTACATCCGTTGCCGCCGATCGCGGGCTGATATATGGAAGGGTTGCCGGTGGCGGCGTATCTCCTGGCACTAGGAATGGCTCATTCGGTTCCTCAATGTCAATAGGCAGACAGCTGACGATGCGGGACCGGTTGTTGCTGCTGCAGCGTAGAACTCAGAGCGTACCGCCGAGCAAGAGGCAATCGAACTGTGATGTGATGATATAGCAGTCGCGAGGCATACGATACTGCATAAAACAGTCACGGCAACCCTCGTTGCTGTTGTTCCTTTGCGATTTCGGGGTAGTAGTACGAAGTACCGTTCGCCAAGTCAACTCTGCATTGCAGTGCCGAGCTCTCGATTTCTAGGAAGCTTTATCCAAGGCAGCTCCTTGTTCGTGTGTGGCTGGTCCTTTAAATGTGTGTGAGAGAGAGAGGGGGGCGGGGGGAGATAGAGCGCATCGGTATAGCGCAGACGAAGGCGGAGATGGACCTCATCCAAGGTCTAGGGTGCTTGGGTAAAAGTACCCTGTTGTCGTTGCCGATGGTACTGTGTATACGAAGGCAGCGAAGCGACGTGAGGCGAAATGTAGCGGCGATTGTGGTAAGAGCAAGCTCCTTCCCAGGCGTCGATGAAGGTACGGAAGTTGACTGAAGTTCTAAGATGGCAGCATTCGGCGCCGAGATAGCCGTTGACTGACTAGGGTTGACGGCTGATAGAAAGTAGACGGCCAATCGGATGTCGAGAGAGAGAGGAGCACATCCGAATGCCATTTGGACAAAAGGGTTGAGCCCCACCAACGGTCTCTACTTATACTAACGGGGAATTCAAAGATATGTGATAAGAAATAGCTTACATAGAAGGTAAATATTAGCAGTCGATCAGCTATGCAGTTCTTTTGTAGAGATTGGATATTTGATGGAGAGGGGTGTGCATGGAATAACTAGGTATGTATGTAATAAAATATATGGCATTTGCATTATCCAATAATGGGGATAGATCGTATGCAATTTTGCGTGAAAAGATTTGCAACTTGTATAATATTTAGTGCTAAAATAACATGTACATATTGTAATTTCCTATCATGAGGGGAAAAAGCCACTTGACACCTTTTGATTTCAATATTTGTATCATACTTGACTTAATTCTAGTGACACTCGATACATCTAATAAGCGTTTAGTAAATAAATAAGTTCTTACCTTCTCTTCCAGTTGATTGTACACAAATTCAACTACAACATCATCCTCCATGCCCAAAATTTGAGTTATCTTTGTGGTGATCCATGGCTTGATGACATCTAGTTTTACTTTGCTCATATCCACCTATTGTAAAAGCAAAAATGTACATACACAAGAGAGTCAGCTATTCTGTGTTTAATTAAAATTTCTGTATCATACCTTCTGAGTTAACGAATCCCCAAACTTCATCTGTTTAAGAAGCTTTTTTTCTTTGTCACTGAAACGCGTGTCCTGAGAAGCGGTAGTACCCTGTAACGTAGTAGTTGTGTAATATCGTGTAATTTATCTCCTAGTTCAGTCACGTTTATTGATATTGAAAAATATGTCTGAATATCGGGGAATAAGCAATGGGGATCAATATGCTATTATACACTATTATAACGCTCACCGTATACATCATAATGCCAGCAAAGTATGAAACTTAACGAGTAGTAGTGCGAGCAACGGTACGCCCGAAACGAGTTCTTCGCTGTACACACTCAGCGTCAAAGAGGGAAACGGAGAAAAAAGAAAGAAAAAAAAGAGACAGAGTGGCGCGGGGAATGTAAGACAGAAAATGAGGGACAAGGTGGGGGGGGGGGCAGCAAGCGTTGGATACTGCTACGACTTGTATTTCCTCACGGCCACGAAATTTCCCATTAAACTTCTAATTCCTTCGAAAATTTCACTTTACTGCTTCGATTTCACAGATAACGTGCGTAATGCGTACTTTTGTCCGCGTCAATCCATACACAATTGGATGGTATAAAACACACGCGATGGATCAATCTAAGAGGTGGCAAGTCTCTCCTGGTGAAAAGCGAGCCTTGATACGTTACCGCCATCTGCAGAGCTTCCTGTTACAAACCAGTGGGCTGGTTCTCACCAGAATTCATCCCGAAGACTCTGATTCGTTCGTTTGTGTTGCTGCCTAGCGAATAGGAATTCGAACCAGGGTCCCGGGAACGCAGTGTGTGACGTAATATGCTTACTAGGCTCGAGCGGAAAGTTATCGACCGATGTAGATGGCGTCAAAAGTAATTGATTGTCTGTTACGAGCCACTCGATTGGTTGGCGGCTCGCTCCTTGCTTCTATACCCGTTTCAGAGATGAGTAGGGAGATGCACAAGGCGAAAGTTTTAAGCCAGAGATAAGTAGGGATATCCATAACGCTACGATTTCAGGCGATACTAAAAGCATGGCGCTGAATCACAGCGGCGAGTCCGGAAGTAGAGTTTTGTGATCATCGCCTCCGTTGATAACGCGGATCCTGTCGTAGCCGAGCTGACCGCGATCACGAACGTGTAGCTTGGCAGGCAGAGGTCCTTCGCTACTCATCGTAAGTCCCTAAAGTAACCCGTGGCAGCTCATTGAATATAGCCTAAATATTTTTTTTCTTTGCAACCTGAATTCGAGCGTATAGTGTATGCTTGGTAAGTTTAATATGACAAAAGCCAGCAACTCATGCCTGCCAGCACTGAAGCGTACGATGCCACCAATATATTCAATAGATATTTGACCAAAGTTGCGTACCAGAACTATTGTCAAAAGATACCAGGAACTATAGAACTCCTCGAGAACTATTGAAAAAGCCAATTCTTGACACATTCTTAAGAAATTGCGGTGCCAACTCTTCATACCCGTTTAGCACCTTAGTTTTTGGAAAATGATTCATCAAAAAGCTTTTTCAATAGTTCTCGAGGAATTCTACAGTCTCTGATAGGTTTTAACAATAGTTCTACTATGTAACATCGTTAAAATACGAATTTCCCAAAAACTGAGGCGCTACACGCGTGTGGATCTCCAGTACCGCACTCTTTTAAAAATCTCTTTAAAATGTTTCATGTTTTCATGTTTTTTCAATAATTCTCAAAGAGTTCTACAGTTCCTAATAGGTTTTAACATTAATTCTTGACTTACCCTGTATTTTAAAAGAAACTGTGAGGGTGGAAACGATGGAACAAAATGCAGATGTATTCGAGACTATACTATTTCGAATGGCACTAATAGGAAAGGTTCGCAAACGAAACTTCTTTGAAAAACTCGAAAAACTGGTGTCTAAACGCTGCACTTGTTACGTACTTATCTTGAATTTTACAAAAAAACGGTGAGGATGCAAACGACGGGATGTAATGGAGGTGTACTAGAGAATATATTCTTCCGAATCGGATTAATAGGGAAGCGATAGTAAGGTAAGAAAAAATCGTACGAAATTGAACGAAAATGTCTCGTGGAAATGATCTTAAGCGACTCCAAATTATACGAAACGTGAAGAAAACTCTAACCCTGGAAACAAATTTCCGTAACGTAACACATCCTATAACTTGTAATCAAGAACAGGGTTTTCTTGAACCTGACCCTATTGCAATTTGATCTGTACCAACCTCTTCTATGGACCATTCTAAGTTTCCGCTTTAAGATATCTTTAAAAATTTCAACGAGAAAGCCATAGATCTAACCGTTTGCGCGATACAGCCCGCTGAAGGTGAAATTTCGAAGACCGGATATTCCATGTACGTGGCCCTATGGCAATTCGATCTCTGCCAGCCCCTTTTATGGACCATTATGAGTTTCTGCACTGAGAGATCTTTAAAAATTTCAACGAGAAAGCCATAGATCCAACCGTTTGCGAGATACAGCCCGCCGAAAGTGAAATGTCGCGTATTTTCAGAATTCAAGAACGGGGATTCCTTGTACGTGGCTCTAACCTTGACTTTTGACATTTTCCTTATATAATTAATAAATTGGGAGTACTCACCGGAGCTGGTGCAGCTAATCCGAGAAGGCAGAGAACCGTATCCAGAGGACACTCGGGTGGGCACTTCACTAGGTCACAGCACTACGCGTCCGGAACACGCACGAGAAATCCATAGAATTTCCTGGATATCGCGATAGAAACGCGAGAACTACACGAGCGAGAACTTTCTATACCGTAGCGAAATACAGATAGAAAGAGATGTCTTCGCGACGCACCTTTTCAAACGTATCAATTCACTACGTCACACTTTTTTTCGTAAATAAATGTAAAGAATAAAATGTATAGAAAGAGATGTATTCGCGACACACTTATTCAAACGTATCAATTCACTTCGTCACACTTATTTTCGTAAAAGAAGGTAAAGGATAAAGAGTATAGAAAGAGATGTCTTCGAGACGCACTACTTTTTTTCGTAAATGAAAGTACAGGATAAAGAGTGTAGAAAGAGACGTTTCGCGACGCACTACGTCACACTTTTTTTCGTAAATGAAAGTACAGGATAAAGAGTGTAGAAAGAGACGTTTCGCGACGCACTACGTCACACTTTTTTTCGTAAATGAAAGTACAGGATAAAGAGTGTAGAAAGAGACGTTTCGCGACGCACTACGTCACACTTTTTTTCGTAAATGAAAGTACAGGATAAAGAGTGTAGAAAGAGACGTTTCGCGACGCACAACGTCACAATTTTTTCCGTAAAAGAAGGTAAAGGATTTAAAGTATAGAAAGAGACGTTTCGCGACGCACTACGTCCCACTTTCTTTCGTGAATAAATGTGAATGATAAAGAGTATAGAAAAAGACGTTTCACGACGCACTACGTCACACTTTCTTTCGTAAATAAATGTGAATGATAAAGAGTATAGAAAAAGACGTTTCACGACGCACTACGTCACACTTTCTTTCGTAAATAAATGTGAATGATAAAGAGTATAGAAAAAGACGTTTCGCGCCGCACAACGTCACAATTTTTTCCGTAAAAGAAGGTAAAGGATTTAAAGTATAGAAAGAGATGTCTTCGAGACGCACTTATTGAAACATATCAATTCACTACGTCACCCTTTTTTTCGTAAATAAAGGTGAACGATAAAGAGTATAGAAAAAGACGTTTCGCGACGCACTACGTCACACTTATTTTCGTAAAAGAAGGTAAAGGATAAAGAGTATAGAAAGAGATGTCTTCGAGACGCACTACGTCACACTTTCTTTCGTGAATAAATGTGAATGATAAAGAGTATAGAAAAAGACGTTTCGCGACGCACTACGTCACACTTATTTTCGTAAAAGAAGGTAAAGGATAAAGAGTATAGAAAGAGATGTCTTCGAGACGCACTACGTCACACTTTCTTTCGTGAATAAATGTGAATGATAAAGAGTATAGAAAAAGACGTTTCGCGACGCACTACGTCACACTTATTTTCGTAAAAGAAGGTAAAGGATAAAGAGTATAGAAAGAGATGTCTTCGAGACGCACTACGTCACACTTTCTTTCGTGAATAAATGTGAATGATAAAGAGTATAGAAAAAGACGTTTCGCGACGCACTACGTCACACTTATTTTCGTAAAAGAAGGTAAAGGATAAAGAGTATAGAAAGAGATGTCTTCGAGACGCACTACGTCACACTTTCTTTCGTGAATAAATGTGAATGATAAAGAGTATAGAAAAAGACGTTTCGCGACGCACTACGTCACACTTATTTTCGTAAAAGAAGGTAAAGGATAAAGAGTATAGAAAGAGATGTCTTCGAGACGCACTACGTCACACTTTCTTTCGTGAATAAATGTGAATGATAAAGAGTATAGAAAAAGACGTTTCGCGACGCACTACGTCACACT